TGCAAAAAAAAAAAAAAAAAGTACAATGTTAGTGTGATTTTGGTTGGAAAACAGTTAAATGTCATTAAAATGTTATACAATGCAAAATAATTCTTTAAGGTTCCAAGAACATGTTTAATTTGGTTTATTCAAATTATTTTATTTTTTTCTGGGGGGTAAATTGGTGACTTAAACATGTTATGTTCATGAGATTCACCTTGCTATAGCTTATTTGAAGATTAGGATGGTAAGGAACTTTTAAAATAATAGGAAATAGCTTTGTAACACATTCAAGTATTCCGAGTAAAATAAACCAGCCTCTGAAAATTAAATTGTCCCTTCATTTACATTTTCATGGACGTAATGACATTATATATTATGTGCAATATACTGAAATCCATTTAAGTTCTTGATTTGTATCTCAAGGTTTAACGCGAGACAAATTATGTGAAATGTCACGTTGTAAAATCAAGTGTAGATTAAAACATTCTGTCAAGAGACTACCATATATTAAACAACCTACTTAAAAACAGAACAGTAGTTTAAGTACTGCTTATCTAACGCTTTATCAGGTAATCCCTTTTAGCATACATCAGATATCATAATCTATATATGAGGAACAAAAAAAAAAAAGACAATTCCTGAGTTTTTCCAGAAGATTAAGGACAAAGCAGACTATATCAGATCACTTCATCTTCTCCTGCTTCTGCAGCTCCTTCACAAGACTTTCCAAAGAGAACAAGTGATCATCTAGGTCTTCAGGCATTAGTTGCCTGATGGCATCGGCGAGCTCAAAGAGGTAGTCTGTATTCTTGCCACTGGGGCCTACAGACTTCACAATCTGCTGAGCGATTGTTTCCAAAGGTGCTGGGCCAAGGTAATTTGGGTTGTCACAGGAGCCGATGTAGAGCAATGTGTCCTGCATTGGTTTGTGTCCTTCATCTTTGGGATGAAATGTAACTGCGATCACCCCGTAACCGCCTTTCTCTCTGTAGTCCAGATACTCTTTCACTTCTTTTTCTCGACCTGATGGCAACTTATAAGCAACGCCCCACACACAGCCCTGCAGGCAAATAGAGTGAACGAACAACAAGAAAAAATGTTTGGATGTATGTATGTAAATCTCATATGCTATTATTAAATGATACATCACAAATATAATATATGGCACTTCCCATTAATATAGAACAAAACAGGGTCTAAAACTCTTTAAAATATATATATTATTAAATAAATGGTCAGTGAAAGTGTTTAAATCACAGAAGTTGACTCATGTTGAACCTTAGAATTTATGTTTTTATAAAAGTATAAACCTATTAAAGTAAATTAATAAATAAACAATGTATAAAAATGTTTTAATACATCTTTTTTTAATTTAATACAATTAAAAATATTAAAGTTAATTGAAAGAAAATTATGTTAGTTATAATAGTTTATTTAAAAATGAATGGGGAAAAAAACATTAATAAAATATTTTTAAAGTTAATTAACAAATACATGACCATTATAAGGCCGGATACAGATATTTTATGTAGGGGTGCTCCGATTGATCGGCTACCAATCACTATCGGCCGATAATCACGTTGGGATGATTGATCGGCGGTGTCTAAAAAGGCCGATCTCAAAAAAACAATTTCAACGGTGCCGTGAGTCTGTCTGGCGCCGGTTAAATAATTATAATGCTGAAGGTGAGGTACTCACCTTAATATTTCTTCATTAAATAACATCGCGTCTGTCTATAAGCGAGCTGCACGCTGCACAGTTTTACACAGGAATTGTCACTTGCACAATCGAGGCAGTGTCACATCGTCACTAAAGTTTATAAATTGCATTACTTTTAAATTCTTACCAGTGTTTAACCATTCCGCGCTCGCGCGCTCTCCTGGAGACCGTGCGCTCATGCACACTCGCAGCAGACTATTTCTGTCAATGGTAAGTTTGTGATAACGTAAGAAAAGTAGTTTAAATGTTTTGCCACTTGCTTGAGCAACTTAATATATAAATCTAAGTAAATGCAAAAGTAAAAAGCATTGAATAATGTGTTTTATATTTATTGTGTTTATATTTATTGTTTAAACATGTCTGTGAAAGATTGTATTACTGTACTGTGTAAAATAATAATAATAAAAAATAATTGCAATGCTGAAAAAGCATTTTCAGTGACAATGTTTGGATCTGAAATCAAAATAATGGATAAATGTTGTGTTTGTGGTGATCAGCCACGGATCAGTAGCAGACTCCTGTGTAAAAGCACAGTCAGTGCTGCTTCCCCTCTCACAAGAGTCACCCATTTTCAAAAATGAAATTCAGGCCCTGAATAAATGTCAAAAAATCCTGATTGGAGTATCACTATAAATAGGTATAAATGATAAAAAAGAAGGCTTTAAAAAGATCAGTATCGGTGATCGGTATCGGCAGATACTGCTTTCTGTGATATGTGATCGGCCTCAAAAATCCTGATCGGAGCACCCCTAATTTTATGCGATTAAAACTATTTAAATTTCATGCGAGGTTAATCGTTAGATAATAATTTGTTTAAAAAAATAAAATAATAAATGTATAAACTATTATTGTGAATTATAAAAAATAAATTAACACTAAAAATACTGCATAATCACCATTTTAAGGTTGGGTACAGAAATGTGAAGTTTAAAACTAGCTACATTTCATTCAAGGTTATATAAGTAACAGCTTATTTTAAATATAAATTTTTATAATATAAAATAATATATTTTTAATTACGTTGTATAATTAAAATTTATATTAATTTAATGCAAGGTAATTACAAATGTAGTAAAAAATTATATTAGATAATAGTTTATCAAATATATCTAAAGTCTAAAAAAAGTGCCTTCCATGTTTAGAAAAAAACAAATTTAATAGGACAAAAAAGTATACCGCATTCGTGGAATGTAATGAGCCATATATCGGCATTGTAAGCAATATTGACAGTCATTACCTCGGGGTCCTCTATTAATGTCACCACTCGGCCAGGCTGAAATAGAATCAATAAGAATTAAAAGTGTTAATCGTACTGTGTAAAGTGCTCTGTCATCCTGAAAGGTCACTACGACTGTACGCCTGCTGTTCATAAACTCGAATGACTTTGATAGGGAATAATCTGGTCCATACCTTTCCAGGCACCCCTCGATGATCCGTACTTCCCTGCCAGAATCTGCGACTGAAACCTTTGAGGCATTAGTTGAATGTATGAACAGGGTAATAGTAGAGATTATTTTTCAAAATAAAAGCCAGGTTACCGCCGGCTTTAAAAATAAACCCTTATAACAACAACCAAAATAATAAATAAATAATCTACCATGATAGCCAGAATATCCACCATTATATTTAATACAATACTGTAGTAATTTGCAGGATATTTACAGTAATAACTGTAGTACCAACGGCATTCGGATGAAATATAACGTAATTGTTTTTTATGTAACGTTAAAGAAAGTTACATCTGTAGAGCTGAGCATAAACAGAAAAAGTAAATCGCATTTATTTATTTATTTATTTTTAAGGTATTTTCATTTATATCGCACAAATTAAAATTATATTTTTAGGTTTTCTGACCGTAGGAACCCTACTTGTTCAATAGACAAGCAATGCTTTGTATCACTTTTGTTGTATATATTGCTGTCTTGTGTTATGTAATTATATCTAGTTAAAGATGACGATGAAGAATACTGAACAAAAAAGGACTTTTAAGCTATTATTGAATAATATCTCCTTTTGGTGACATGGTTTCCGTTTGGTGGGCGGATCAGCTAAAAATATGTCAAACATAATACATGGATTCGTTTTTATGTTGTTGTTGTTGCTATTTTTTATTTCCTCTTATTTTTCATGGACGGAACGAAAAATTACACGTGTGTGTTCTAGCCGGAGCTCTGAATCAGCCAATCAGAAAACAGCATCGTCGGAAATGTCCATTAAATTCATCCTGACCTAAAACGATTCGAATGTGAATTTTGTCACTCTCTTATGTGTGTACCGATGTTTTAGGACGTAACATGAGTTTTGCTTTATCTTTTTATTGTCTTGTGGACATATTAAAGATTCAAAGTGAGAAAGTCGAACTAAATTACTAGACTAACGTATTCTAAAAGCAGTTAACTCGTTATTTTGCAATCAAAGCACCGTTATCTGCCCAGTTTATGATTATTTATGTAACGTTAACCTAGTGTGAACTTCACTTGGTTGTGCATTATAGAGGTTTAACCTGTGGCACTGCAGTGTAAGTCAGGTGTAATTTAAGACCAGCAGCTGTCAACTTGCATTCAGTCAGAACCGCTGTGTGTAAATGGCAGAGCACGAACTCTTTCAGTAATGTTTGTGTTGTGTTTAAACGGAGAATAATCAGATGGACTTCACGGAGTGCTATGGAGACACCTGCTCAGCCGTCGCGCTGGCAGCCCGGGAGGGGAAAGGTCGACGGGTGCAGAAGCTCATCCAGAGAGGCTTCGCGGTGGACGTGAAAGATAACCGGGGCTGGAACGCCCTGCATGAGGCTGCGGCGGCTGGATCAGCGGAGTGTGTGCGGCTTCTCCTCCCTGCAGCCGGTAAGAACTTTAGATGGGGGGTTTAGCTACTCTGAACTTGTGGACCATCAAATAGAGTGACCTGTTTAGACAAGGAAGGGATAGTTCACATAGAAATGCAAATTATGGCAAAATATGGCATCAACCTCATGTCCCTACTGGAAAAACCAGCTACACCAGCTCAAGCTGGTCAACCAGCATGACCAGCTCAAGCTGTGTTTTGGAACATGGTAGCTGGTAGCTGGTTAGACCACCCATATCCAGCTTATGCTGGTGATAGATATTTTTTTTCAGTAGCTAGTTATTGATGAATAATTATTAACAATTGTTTTTAACAGCTTCCAGTTACAATACATGTCCTAAGCCTGTTCTGCTTTAAGAAAGGAGCACAAAAACAGACATTCAGGAGAAGAATTCAGTTTATTTATGTGAATATCATTCAACAATCTTCATTAAAACACATTTTGTTTTTTGTGTCCTTGAATTTATATGAGAAAAATTACTTAGTGTAATTAACTGGCAGTAATAACCTAACAACATAACTGAACTACGAACTGCTAACAGTTTTCAGCAGCTTACGTAACATGAGAATTCACTTATTTGACTTATTTTTTTTGTTGATGTCTTAAATTTTTTCTGTTAAATAGCGCCCAAGTTTTCCTGCTCTGGCCTTAAGCTCTGCTTCCCCAAAAACCCACATGCTTCCTGTTGACAGCTCACTGTGTGTCTGAACCCCTATGGTCTGAACACATAAAGTTACTCCACATATCGATGGACGGGTTTTTCTAGGGTCCGTGTGCCACTGACGAGTCTGGTTGGGTTTGTTCACTCGGTTTGCATAGGTGTGGACACATCACAGTAATTAAAATGCTAAAGATAACAAAATGAAGTCATACTTGCCAAGGGCAAAAACAGATCTAGCCGAAAATCGAGACTCCCATCAGTTGCCGTCTGATTTACAAGCTGCCATAAACACTGCGCGTTATTGTTTATATATAAATGTTGCTGTCTATATATTGCTGTCTATAAATTTATATATAAAATGTATACATTTGTATATATATATATATATATATATATATATATATATATATATTATTTATTTCATACTATTTACATGAACAGAATACAAGTCAGAAACATCTAGTAGGGACCAGATATTTTGTTTGCTAGTAGCATCTCATAAACCTCCATTTCCACTATCAAGGTAAATGGTTACTGTTTTTATACTGATTCTATAATGATCACACTGATTGTTTCTTTTTCAATTGTGGTGCTGTGAAATCAGCATTAGAATGGACTGACTGAGCAAATGACGTATCGCAAATTCTGCAAAGAAAGAACACAAATTTGTGACCAGAGCTGTTAGTTCAGCCTAGTGATAGAAAAGTGTCTATACTATATAATAACCAATTCTAGATGATCAAACGAGAATGTATACAACAGTTATACATATCAGCACTCTTGGTCAATCATTGTTCCACGAAAAAACATTTAATATTTACATAATTCTCTAAAGTTCACACAACACTTACCTTTAAGTGCTCTAAATTTGTGAGGTGTCAGAGGGGGCCTAGGATCAGATTTTGTGGTGGTACAGCTTTTTCCTTCCAGGCTACGGTTGGCCAGTGTGCTTGTTCCCCAAATGCACACTGCCAGTTCTTTCACAAACAAGCTGTCCTTTAAATTAGCCTGTATCTTCTTCCATTTTTCACTGTGTATTATTACATCACCAATATCAACCTGTATGAAAATGTAAACATTATCAAGAAATGTAACAGAATTGTATTTTTAAAAATATATATATTATTCTTGATGTAGGGCCTATAATCAACAACTCAATTTTTGTTTTGTTTTTTACTTTTTGATGTACTGTTACATAGAGTGTCATTTTATAGGAAAGATTGAGTTTGGCTGTCACAGGGAAGTTGTCTCAATCAATGTTACAATTGTGTGTTTTCTTTAGGAGTTGTTGGATTTAAACAATCAACTCTCAAATCACAAATTCAAACTCTCCTACATTACAACAGTATCTTCAGTCCTGCTCCTGGGGACACGCTGTCCTGCAGAGTTTAGTTACAACCCAAATCAAACACACCTAAACCAGCAAATCATCTTTGTGCTTCAGGATTACTTGGAAAGAAATTACAGGCCACCTGTGCTGAAGCAGGTTGGAAATAAAATTCACAGGACAGTGGGTCCCCAGGAGTAGGATTGAAGACCTAGACAACAGTTTATTTCAAAATTCAGAGTAATATTTTTGTTGCTTTTATGTACAGAAGTGCATAATATTAAACCACACTTTTATATGATGTAATTTTATACAATTTATTCATTACAATATTGTTAGAAAAATAATATTCTGTTGTTTGTGTACATTATTTCCAAAAAAATTCCCAGTTTCATAAATTTCATGAATCTTACTAGGGCTGCACGATAAATCGCATGCGATATTTAACGCGCATCTTGTCAGAAAAGCCGGTTCTGTAATCAGCGGTAAATCTCCATCATGTGCGTGCTTTCACATTGAGCAGCATTTACTACACAGAGCCGTTGTTCACTGACGAGCTGCGCAAAACCACGTTCATATTGGCGCGATTTTTTGCGATTTATCGTGCAGCCCTAAATCTTACTACGTATATTTAGCTGTTACCAAATATGATGTTTAATGGCAGGTTTCATTGTGACAACTTGCCACATATTGTGAGAAAATGTCTCACTTTGGTATGTTCAGTTAATATTGTATGTTCAGTAGTTTTTGTAGGCTTTGAGATAAATGCCCAAAAGAAGAAAAAATACTTAAACCAACCTAGAGAAATACCCTAGAATAAGAAGTAACAAGTAGCCCCAGTCTCTCCTATATATACTATTTAATTAAATAAATACGTACCTCATCGTTTTCTGAAATTTGTTTTGATAGGTAACAACAGCAGAACTGTTCTCTGTGGGAAAGGGTGTAAAGTTAGGGACTTGGAGTCCTTATAACAATTTCACCAGATTAAACACACTGGGTCAAGGGGCACCACACAATACAATTTTGCCTGTTCAAAACTTTTTTGTTTTCGATTTAATGGCTATTAAAAACTTTGTGATACTACCACATGGTAATGCCAACTGTGTGCTGTTCCAGAAGTAGTATGGATGATATTTATACTGAAATAAAGATAATGATAGACTTCACTTGCCATTGGGTTGAAATGTTGATGTGCAGTGCTACATATCAAACTTGTCAGGGTGCACCCCTGGATGTGATGCCATTGAGAATATGCCAAGTTGTCCATAAGGCTAACCTGGTCCTGTCACCAAGTCTTTTTACTATCCTTAATACAAATACTAATACTAATAATATTAATTGTAATTGATTAAATAAAAAAAGTTCTGCAAAGATCATATCATTAAAATCTTACCAACTGCTGTTTGAGGGTTCTTTATTTTGTCTAAAGGGGGGCTGCTCTCTGCATAGAATCAAACAAATGGATCATGATTTTCAATACATGCAAAACAATTCTGCAAACTTATGAATAACAAGCACTGCAAGTTTTCAAGAGTGCTGGAAGTAGAGAAGACATTGAAAAATAAAGGGAAATTTTATAAATGTAATAGGTTTTTATTAATATTTATACATTTCTTATTTTTTTCTTCTCATTATTACTATTATTATTATTATTATTCCAAACATGTATGACTTTAAGTAAAGCACAAAAGGACATACTTGGCAAAATGTTCACGCAGCTCTTTTCCATTGCTCGTTAAATTATAAACCAATGGGGAATGGGGCCATCAATCTCAACAACAGACGTAATTGTGCGAGAACGTTTATCTTTACCACTTGTGCACCACATTGCAAGTTTTGGCTAGTTTTGTGTGAAACAAACTGAAATTTCAGTTGTCATTCTTGAAAATGTTCCCCTTATGGTACAGACAAGTGAATTTTTTTTTCTCGTTTTTTTTTTTATGGTTATTATCGTTAACTAAAACAATTTGAAATAAAATAAAGATTAACTGAAAATTTTTTTAAATTTTATTTCAGCTAGTTGCCAAGGCAACATTTCTAATTTGTTTTTAGTACTAAAATAACTAAAACTGTAATAAATTTTTTTTTTAGAAGCATTTAAAATAATAATAATAAACATGATAGAATCGTCTTTTGTTTTCGCAGAAGAAACTAAATCAGTAAAATAAATAAAATCAATACAGTTTTAATGAAAGGAGAATGAGTAAATGATGACAGAATATCATTTTTGGGTGAACTATTAAATACCAATAATCAGAGCTCTTTTGACACTCTAGTATGTGTAGTAATTATGAAACTGTATATGTGACTTTTTTTTCTCTAATGTGCAATTCATTAGTTGTATGTCCCTGTTCGCTTCAGTCAATTGCGAAGACTACGTCAACACTTTGACACATAACTCAGAGACTCCTCTTTACTTTGCTGCGAGGAATGGACACCTCCGGGCAGTGAAGTGGCTTATCAAGGGTGGTGCGGACATTAACAGGACAACCAATGAGCTCTCCTGTCCCCTTTTTGCAGGTAAAGTACCTAGAATCATGGTCTCAGATCTTGTTTACCGTGTGTATTTTTCCTTTTTTGAGTCTTGTTATATGCTATGTTTGTCTCATTTTTTCGTTCCTAGCTGTAGATGGTGGGCACGAAGATGTGGTAGAGCTGCTGGTGGAAAATGGGGCAAAAGTCAATGGGACGTACTCGGTGTCAGGCTGGTCTTGTCTCCATCAAGCTGTTTACAAGGTTATAGCTTTAATCTATAACTAATTTATGATTTACGAAGCTTTTATGTTTTGGAAACATTTGCACAGACACTACATTCACATGCCTTAAAGGGGTCCTATTATGCTTTTTCACTTTTTCAACTTTAGTTAGTCTGTAATGTTGCTGTTTGAGCATAAAAAAGATCTGCGGAGTTACAAAGCTCAAAGTCCACTTCAAAAGGAGATATTTTATTTAACAGAAATCACTTACATTACAATCACAAAAACCACAACGAACGACTCGTTTGGACTACAACGCACATTTTCCGGGATTTGTGATATCACAAAGATCGACGAATGGGACGAGACCTGGTTGAGCTGCACTAGAGAAGGCAACGAGTGTTTATCACTATGTCGGAGACACGCTAGCTTTCCCAAGGCAGACGAACTTAGAGTGGTTACAATCATCCGGGTTTAAATCACGCTCAGAGAGGTGTTGTAAAATATGTGAAAAATAATGTTTTTCGAACAACCTAGTATTAGAGCCTGTTCTAGTACACCCCCAAAACAAAATCAAGACTTTGTAAAAGAGCATAATAGGACCCCTTTAAGAAGTTCTGCAGCTCTTCTCACTCACTTTTAAGTGTAAATGTTTATCAGTTAGCAGGAAGAAACACATAACAACAATCAAATGATTATGTAGCTCGTTATGGCTACTTTTAAATTTATACCTCTTTCAATAAATTTTTATCTAAATGTTTAATTGAACTTAAAAAAATGAAAGCCCAAGGCCATTTAGCTTTTTTTCTAATTTAATCAAGTTTTTAAATCCTACATCCAAGGCAGTTACCAAAGTCTTTAATCAAAAAACTGATGAAATAAATATCTGTAAAACCATTTCCAGGGCCATACTGAGATTGTGAGGTACCTGGTGAGCATGTGCTCTCTGGAAGCTGTTGATGACTATGGGATCACATCTTTATTTGTTGCTGCGCAATATGGACATCACCAATGCTTGGAAATTCTTGCAAATGCCGGTGAGAACATTTCTTTAATGATTAACCCTGTACGAGCTGCAGCTAGCCAGCTATATGTTTCTCTTTTTGTACATTACATGCTTTGGTCAATGTTCAGTGTTAACTCTTGCAACATCAGAGTTATCGCTACTGTATCCACAGTGCTGTTTACAGTGACACATTCTTCAGAGGCAGATAAAGAGTTTGAATGAAGGGTCAATGACATGCCGCTCATTTTTGTTCAGATCTATTCATTTATTCAAAAATGCAATTCATACATAAAGAAACTTGAATACAATCTTCGAGTATGTTTTTAATTTCTGAATTAGAATTCATGTTTACACTTTTTTTGGGGGGGGAGGGGGGTGGGGGACAAAGTCAGGTCTAATCTTGATCTAGTAATGAAGAAAAAAATCTCTTTAAGCAAATAAAATTATCCAAAGGAAAACTTTATGTAGTTTGGTTGCATTGCTGCTTATTAATATTTAAAAACAGTCTGCTAAAGTAAAGTCATGGCAAATCATTTATATTGTGAAGACCCCCCTGCAGACCCTTGTGACTCTTTGACAAAGTCAATAAGTCTCTTAAAATAACAGATTTGAGCTTTTTAGTTTTTTTTTAGCAAGGTTAGTTTATGTTGTAAAATGTCATGTGGTGTGACTCCAAAAAATATAATTGTTAAAATAGAAAACATTTTTTAAAGGGGTCATATGATGTTTCTAAAAAGAACATTATTTTGTAGCGGCAGCAACAATAAAGTTATGCATTCTTTCTTTTCGTGAACATTTGGGCGGTGTTATGCAAATCTTCCCACACAGTGACGTAGACATGTGGGGGCGTGTTTAAACGAGGCGTTTTAGGAGGGCGTGGACCAGTCTTAACTTTTATAAAGAATATCTCTTTGGGTTTGAGACTTTAGTCTTTGCAACTTTAGGGATCTTATCTATTCACGAACAGCTTGTAACACTCCAAAGAGAAAGGAAAACTTGAAATCGCATCATATGACCCCTTTAAATTGTACTAATATTTCACAATATTACTGTTTTAGTGTATTTTTGATCTAATGAATACAGCCTTGTTGAGCATAAGAGACTTCTTTCAAAAACAAAACAAAACCAAAAAATCTTACCAACCCCACATTTTGAACATTTTTGGTAGTGAATGTTTATATCATGCAACATATATTTTATAATAATAATAATTTATGGATTTAGTAGACGCTTTTATCCAAAGCAACTTACAGTGCATTCAGGCTATACATTTTTTACCAGTATGTGTGTTCCCTGGGCATCGAACCCATGACCTTTTGCGCTGCTAACGCAATGCTCTACAACTGAGCCACAGGAACAGGGAAATTGTTTTATTTTTTACATGATAACTACAAATTCAAATATAAAAGTTCATGAAAATCATATGAAACCAAAACGAATACAATAAAGACATTTATAAAACTTGGCATAACCTATATTTTTGAAAGATTCATTTTCTTTATGGTGGACATTGTTTGTCATTTACCTAATACGCATGAATTGTTATTAAATGAAGAAAAAAAAGCAACACTGCAGTAATGTATTAGAGTTTGGTTGCCTAAGCACAGGTTGTCATTGCCACAGGGGCGAATGTGAACTGCCAGGCAAACGATCTGGCCACACCGCTGCTCATTGCCGCTCAGGAGGGCCACGTACGGTGTGTGGAGCTTTTGCTGGCCCATGGAGCTGACCCCAACCTGTACTGCAATGAGGACTGCTGGCAGCTACCCATCCATGCTGCGTCCCAGTTCAGTCGGCTTAGGTATGGCAATGACGTACTGGGTCTGTCAAATGGTTATGAAGACCATGCCAACATTTACTTTGTATAATGATATACACATTTGAAAGCTAACCTTTAGTACTTTTTAAACGAAGATGTTGAGAGTGTAACTTTGGCCTTTTTGAAATAATCTTTGCTAAACTGCATTAATCTGGCTGCTCATCTCTTGTCGTTCTCTATAGTATTTTAGAGAAGCTGATTCCGGTAACGAAGCGAGAATGTGACCGGGGCGAGGGAAAGGTCAGTCCAGTTTATTTGGCAGTACTTAGCGGGCAAGCGGACAGCCTGCGGGCCTTGCTAAAGAAGGGCTACAGTCCAGATGCCCAAAGCTGTCGACAGTTTGGCTACAGCTGCCCTTTGGACATGGCTCTGTGGTGCAACTCTTGGAAGTATGACATAGATGTACACTTGTGTCCCGCTTTTTATTTTAAACACAATCAGTTGGACAGTATGACATATTTTTTCCTGTTCGTCTCTCAGTTTGAACAGCGAGTGTCACCAGATTCGTGAAATCACTCTGATGCTCTTGGCAGCAGGGGCCCATGTGAGCATGGGCATCTACGCCTTTGCATTACAGGGCCACGTACCAGAGCACCTGCCCTTGATCCTAGAGCACGCTGGCCTCCCTCAGGGTGACCGACTGGAAGAACTGGCCCGTAGAGCCCTTGCTGAGATGCAGAGCGCCTCTTTCTGGCTCCCCCTGCTGCTCAAAGCAGGAATGGACCCCATGCTGCTCCTGCAGGACAAAATGTAAGCAACATATTGTGGTTGTTGTGCCACACAGGTTTTTATTTTAATCATGAGTGGATTCACCATGCGTGCCTTTTAATAAACGATTGTGCATTATTAACGTCAGAGTTAAAAACCACTGTGTTAAGCTCTTCACTTCTGCCTGTTATGCTCTAATTGGGTGCAGGCTTGAAGAAGCTGAGAACAGAGTGCTTAATTTCTTTCTGGAGTTCATTAATTGGAAGACTTTGCCCTCCTCAATGCTTCAGATTCTCTCTCACCGTCGAGCAGATGGCACCTGGACGCCACAGAAGCATTTCGGTATGACCTGTACACTTTAAATCATATATATGTGTAGGCTTCATGACTTCAGGTGTTTTTCAGTGTATCCAACAGCATGTTGCATATATCAAATATTTGCATTATATTTGCAATCATTTTGTTGGTAATATGAAATTAAGCAACATAGTGAATGATTTTATTACACCTTTTTTTGTCCATTAAGTTTCCTAAAGAGTAACATAGTGAATAATTTCATTACACTTTTTGAAGTTTTCTAAAGAGTTTCTGTATCATAGTTGATAAGGTCAATTTATTTTTTGGAATCATTTTAAATTGTTTCAATGAACCAAATTAAAAGCAACAACAAAATGTTTATGCAGTTAAATACTATGTATTTTATATAGATGCACATAAATGAAAAATGTAATGTATCATTCTTCCATGATTATTTTCATTTTAATCTGTTTAAAATATATGGCTGATTGAAATGTTTTGTTCCCCTGATGGGGGAAAAACATATTTAAGTAATTTATGGATATTTGATAGATATTTAATGATATTCCAAATATATTTTATATATGTATAAGGCTGCATTTATATGGTCAGAAATTGTGAAATATTATAACACTTGTATTTTAATGTAATTTATTCCTGTGATAGTCTTCAGTGTCACACAATTTTTCAGAAAAAAATATAATATGCTAATTTTGGTGCTCAAGAAACACTTTTTATTATGATCAGTTACCATATTTTTTGTGGAAACCATGATACACATTTTTTCAGGATTCGTTATTAATAGAACATTCAAAAGAACAGCCTTTATTTGAAATGGGAATCTTTTGTAACAATGTAAAAGTCTTTACTGTCACTTTTGATCCATTCAATGTGTCCCTGCTGAATGAAAGTAATGTCAAAAAAAAGATTTTTGAAAAAATAACTGTTGTCCTACTGCATTCTGTAGCTGTGTCATCTGATGTGGTAAGTGGCCACAGCTCTGTAACCTTTTGCTTTTGGTTGTAGAATCAGTCCCTACCCTCACCCATCTGTGCAGACTGGCAGTGCGGGCAGCGGTGGGCAGCAATGCTCTGTCTAAGACCTCCTTTATCAAACAGCTGCCCATCCCCACACTGCTTCAGGACTACCTTCAGTTCAGCGACGTCCCAGGCTTGCTTACATAGCGGCCTGACAGGCATGTGTGGCTAATTAAGTAATCTCAACTTGTTCCACTGCAGTATTTTGTATATAATGTTAATAAAATTTTAATGACTGCTCAATGACGCTGGACTCTTTTCATTACCGTGATATTTAGAAAATGTGGGAGGACAAATGGAGAATTCCACCAATTTATCTTCACTGTTCTGTTCCCCTCTTACACAGCTGGCCTTCATACTGAGTTGGTGTTGAAATTCACCTCTGCTCCGTGTCTTTGGTCTGCCTCGTTGTCTTTCTCTCAGCGGCTCTCCTCTCTGTCTGCCTCCAAGGTCACTCTGCCTCAAAAACGCATACTCTCCTCGAATGTTAATTGCCAACGCAGCCACACTCATTCAGAGATGCTACTATCTGCCTTTGGTCATACTATGTATTTAACATTTTATGTTACCTTTTAGGAATATGCATAGCACACCTTCAAAAGCCTCTTAATTTAAAATCGTCTGTATCTCTGCTGCGTGATGCTCTCAACCTCTTGCTGCTTTGTGAATAGAGTCTTGCCTTTATGAATAGGCAGTTAATCTGTTTCTATTTCACACAGACCCAATGTTCCAGTGTTTTACATTTTTTCTACAGTACATATCCTGGCAGATTGTTTTTAACACCTCTTTAACATCAATTATGGAAAGACCAACTGATGCTTGCATAATTGTGTTACAAAAATCATGTTATATAACATCGTGGTGTTCCTTATTTCCAAGCCATTTCTTTTGGAATACTGTATACCATGTGCAAACAGCAGGGGGAGAACACGGATAACTGACAGCATAACCGCCAGTCCTACCTACACTACCTAGCAGCTTGTCTACGTGAAAGAGGAGAGCCATTTCTGCTCCCTTCCTGATACCTTGAATTCAGAGCAAACCAGAGGCTGTGTCTCAGCAACTCTGTGCCTTGTTCTTCTAGACAATCAGGCCACCTCTCTGTGGGAGACTGGAAAGGCAAGGCATTAGCAATCATGTGCATTAAGCTTTTCTTGTGCTGCAGGTAAGCTCAGGTCCAACAGTTCGCCTTTGATTAGCAATCAGGCTTTTGAAATACAGCCAAAGGACTGACTGACTTCATGTTGATCTTTCACATTTGCACATTCTTTTTCATTTTTATAAAACGTATTGGAGTAGAAATATAATTTCTGATTGTTCAAACTTCATTGAGGAAAATTTTTGGATATATTATGTGTGAAAATAATTTTCATATATATTTCATATATACATCTATTTGCTAGAACATACGTGTGTGTTAGAATGTGTGTGTGTTTTAACACATTTCCAATATAGATTGATACGTATACTATCTGATGTTTACAATGAAATTTTACATAAATGTTAAAAAACCCAGCCTCAAATAACCCCTTTGATTTGTCTACCCTAATTAAAACTTGATAGCAGCACGGAGGAATGATGTCTAGAATAGAGCACTTACATAATTGATGCAACTTGATCTAAAATGTATCAGTCCTGAAATGTGGTGCACGTTCTATAAAAAGCCAGTGTGACGTGCAGCCCCAAGCCAGTCCGCCCGTTTAGAGCTATAAGCCCGAATTGTTGAACAGCCACCACCATTCATACTGTGAATTTTGTTGATTCCAGAGTGGCTCAGGATTTGGAGGCTTTGAGCTCTGGGGAAAATCATCACAGTGGAGCACATTGCCTGTCTCTTTATTTAAATCACATGGTACGTCTCTCAGGCTTTTCAGAAATGTGGTAAAGATTTCTTTCTCTTAGATTCTCTGAGTGTTAATTACACAACCATAGTTGACCATGGCTCTAGTACATTAAATGTAGCTTTTTCAGTGTTTTTATCTGTGTGAATGAGCTTTTTTTTTCTTTTTTTCCCCGTATTTCTCTATGCAGGGATTTAGTTTGTCTCAGTGTAAGATCCAGCTTGGAAACATAGAGCTGTGATCATTGCCTCATTGTGCTATCCTCGCCATGGACCTGAATCATGAGGACACAGTTGCCTGGCGACCTGCTGATGGGAAATATCTGCTAAAATATTACCAGGGGAGTTGTTTTTTCCCCCCTAGACCATCTCATACAAGGTGCATACATGCTAATACTGTATAGATTTTAATCAGTAAGGACAAAAGCTTTAAGGCTGCTTTGCTTCTGCATATTACATCACCTGTTGGGAATCGTCCAGCTTTGGTGGTGTATGAATGATTTATTTTCCTCAGTATGATTAGATAATTCTTGCCTTTTTGATGGAAGAGTACTGGATCTTACTGCATTTGTGCAGTCTGTTACCCACTGCTAACACACTCCAAGGAAATAAACAAGGGTGATGGGCTTCTGCTGGCTTTCACTGAACACGAGATGAATGTGTTTTTCCAAGTCAATTTGTTGTTTTATCTTCCAGGTCCTACATGTCTCATCTCATTGATTTTACTCTTTGCCACCTCACAAACAGGTCATTATGTATTCGTTTGCTTGTGTTTGTGTCAGTGTGTTTGTTTTGTCAGGAGTAATCTGGACAGAGGAAATGGGCCATTTCATTTGGACATTTGTTTCAGGGAATAGAAAAAGAGAACTGCAGTGTTGATATAAGATGTGCTGTTGGTGGGTGGAGGGGTTTTCATTGATTTGAAGTGTTTTGCTAAAGGAATAGTTCGCGAAGAATTGGAAATTTTGTTGTTTACTCACCTGTTTCAGTCCTATGCAACTTTATTTCTTCTTCTCTCTTTTTTTATTTTTACATACAATGAAAACATTTTGTTACCGGCTGCCAAAAAAATTCAAACTCATGAACGTGCCACGCCACATTTGAAGTCAATGACAGGAATTGCCATTGATTCTCACATGCAGTGTTTATTTCATAAACAAAATTACTCATACATAAAAAAAATTCTAATATTTTTTTTGTATTTATCAGATCTGAAAAGACACAACATGATGATAACTAAACAAGTTTAATAAAAAAAATTAAAACTAAAATTTTATACCATTTTAGTCAAACTGACTAAAAAGAATGAATATGACACGTTGAAATATTTTCAAAATTTAAAGGACATTTTTGTCAAAAGACAAATACAGAGTTCTGGCATGAAACTCTAGATGGCGCAGTCCGATAGGTCTAACTCAATCTGACCTAATGACATCATTATCACATGGCACAGCTGATTGGTTCTCTTCTATATCGGTAGCCAATGAGCTCGCTGCTCAACCTTCAAATATATGACTAGTTCTTTGGTGAAAATCTGTTGGCATGCAAAAAATACTCACAAATGTTTTAGCACAGCTATTTATACACATAGTATGAGAAATACAGAGTTCTGGCATGAAACTCTAGATGGCGCAGTCCGATAGGTCTAACTCAATCTGACCTAATGACATCATTATCACATGGCACAGCTGATTGGTTCTCTTCTATATCGGTAGCCAATGAGCTCGCTGCTCAACATTCAAATATATGACTAGTGCTTGCCGTAGCAGTTGCAGCTTGCTTCAGAACAGCGAAATGAACATCTAAGATAAGTGAATGCTCTTCTAATTCATATCGCTGTGTGTATTGCGTGGTCTAACTAATTGAATAAAAAAATTAGCAACCATAATCAAGTTTAAACTAAGTGTAATGTTAGCAGTTTGCATTGTATGCAGGAGCGAATATTAAGCATATTAGCAGCAGCATTTAGCATCTGTGTTTATACAGCTGGAGCAAAACGCAGTTTAGAGCATATGTAATCGCTCTGAGGATGATAGTAACGGACATGAAACAGGTTAAATTAAATAAGTATTCTTGTGTATGCATTTCAGTGGGGGTTCGCCATATACATCGGCAATTATCCCAGTGTTCACGTTCCTTATTTCTAAGGTTGATGTTTTCATTGTGATGAGTGTGTGTGGTTGATTTCAGCTGTAAGCAGGCACTTATCCTAGTCATATTGATGACAGTGTTGCAGGAGATGCTGAAGATCACTATCTACGGCTGTAACAGTTAGTTCTGAGTGAAATGCATTATGGGTAGTGTAGTTCGGAGAAATGTGCTTGTGCGACGTGTGCTTTCGCTGTGCTCTGTAATTCAGAAAACGGAGAAAGAACATTTTATATTCTGCTTTTATTTCAGTTCATTCAGGTCAGTCCACCCAGGGGTTTTTTGTGCACTGTAACTTGACAACTTTTATCTGCACGAGAGACTACAATGGCTTGCATCGGCTAACTTTGTCCGTCTCATTGCATGAACATGAATTAACAAGCTGTTACGCTGCTGCTGGGACTGATGAAGTGGAGAAAGTAACAGCAGTTGTCAAATGACTAAAATGATATTTGCTCAGGTGGGTGCTGGGGGCTTATCTATCGGATTGCAACATATATCCATTTTGTTAATTAAACATTACACATAAGTGTGCTTCTAATTAGAGTTAAGCCAGTCGGCGTGGTAGCCAAGGCTCACATAGTCATAGGCCACTAGCCTTAAGCCGGTCGGCGTAGCCCAGGCACACATAGATAGTAATACATGCGGTTCACATGGCTCTTTGGAGCAGCAGCAGCACATATGTCTTGGTGATAGAGCTGCTTGTTGGGGGGTGTTTTCTTGTTTTGGCTTGTATTGTCCCTTCTATGTCTCCTGCTTTGTGGGGGGTTATTTCATGTGTTATATTTGCAGCAGCAATATTTCTTAAATGCTCACAGCAGCATGTTGTGGATGTATTGGCAGTAGCAAGTCTCGGTACTTGCTCTGCCGCAGCAGCTTAGCAGATCTATTCTGCCAAGACCAAATACATTAGCACTGTCATGTACATTACCATGCCAATTACTCCGAGAGTTGTCATGACAGAAATACTGTTGCTTTATTTGGAACTGCATACTACTCTTACTATTTCTGCCAAATAAAGATATGGTAAAAATAGTAGTATGCTAGTAGTCTGTTCTATTTGACCAATTGACCAACTTTGAACACACAGAATGAGATTTTTTAAAATGAGATTTGAGAGCTACAGTGGAGGAATATTTAATGAAAAACAACAAATTTAGGTAGGGCTGGGCGATATAGCTAAAAAATGTATCAACGATATAATGTTTCATATCGTTTGGTATCGATAATTATTGACATTTTTTATAACCTTTTTTAAAACCAAGAGCAATAAAAAAATGTTTTTTTAAATGTAACCACTGTATTTTAAAATTAACCCAATTTATTGAGACAAACAACAAATATTTTTTTTCAACAGTCAAGCACACAATAAAAATTAAACGAATATCTAATTTCTAATGTTTATATGCAGATTAAATGGGTTTTAAGGAAACTTTTGTCTTGTCTCCCGAGGCCACAGGAGGGCGCAATGAGCAAAATAATGCAGCACATTTAAATTGTAAACACAAGGAAATGCGTCTATAAAAAAACGTGCATTACGTCTACATTAACTCATATAAATTAAGTATAATTTCGTAAATTGCATAAACAATTATGAACAAAACAACATCGTGTATTTATCATAGACTGTAAAAAAAACATGGACGTAGTGTCCGTGACGTCACTCGTAGGGTTCAGAAGAGCATTTTTGAACATAGACATAATAAATACCTAGACGCCTCATTGGCCGCTTTGAGTCGTTCAACGCGTCCGCCATGTTTGTGAGGGCAAGACTGCTTTAAAAATAAATGGAGGTAAACAGAGGAGCTGCGGTTTTTTTTTTTCTGGATAAAAACACGATAACGTTTACATATCATCAACCGATTTCAGAGGTTGTGATCTACATGGAGTTAAAAAGAACTCTGCCTCCAGTTATTTAGGTTTGGAAAATTATTAATTTTCGTAAGAAATTGTGAAAACTCACTTGTTGATTTGTTAGATTTTTTTCGGTTTACAATTCTAATGTTAATGTAGTATAACTGTGACATATACATGTTTTGTAATTTGAATGTACATTAAATGAAATTAAGTTGTTTCATTGCTTTCTGTCTTCAACCCCAACATTTTAGCTTTTCTTGTGCTTCAGGTCAGAACACAGCTCATTCCCTTTGAAATACTGGAAGAAAATCAAAATAATACATCTTTAAGCACTAATAATTTACCATCATTGAGCAAATTGAATAAAACCAGCGAATACAAATCAAAAAGTGACACTCTGGTAGTGTGCTTTTTATTTTGATAGCAGTCTATACAGAAACTCCACAACAAACAATAACAAATGCAACTGATCCTAATCCTTTATGGATCCAGTAAAACTTAGTTACAGTGGTAAAATATAACAAAGTAAGAAACGAGTAAGGGGGGGAGAGAGAGTGTGTGGTTTGTATATGACCAGGGTAATTCTGGCCATTCAATTCAGGGCTATTCTGGGTTTTAACTGGTACTAATACAACATTAGGCTGTGGAAGTATAGCCTACTCTCTTGGAAATACAGATTTTGCACCTTTATAGATTGTTAAAGGGGTCATATGATGCTGCTAAAAAGAACGTTATTTGGTGTAATGAAATGTTTATGCGGTTTAAAGTAAAAAAAAAAAACCCACATTTTCCACATACTGTACATTATTGTTTCTCCTCTAGAAGCTGTTTACACTGTAAAATTAATATCTTACTTTACATTCGTACATCTTCACTTTGTTGTTTCTGATGAGATAATTAGCCAGAGATTTCAGTCAGCCAGCGCGCGCAGTGACGAAACGGCGTGTTTCAGCGGTGACTCATCTGAACGCCTCTGATTGGTCTTTGTATTCATAAACTCAACATAATAGTATGGGATTGGTTATAATGTGCAACGCTTTAAAAACGTGCGTGTCTCTGGCTCTGTGCCAGCCAGCGAATGCAAACAACGTGATTCCAACATCCAGCCACGCAAGAAAACGTGCATTTTACCTGAGGTAAGACGTGATCAATAAGGAAAGTCTCTAATGTATACACCTAGATAAAACAATTTACATTTAAGTAACTTCCTGCGTAATCTTAAACTTGAATATCATTCTTAAAACACAAAATGACCAATGAAGTGTCAAGCACCCAAAGCAGTCCATATTTATTCTATAAGTTCTCTTTAATTGAAAAATATGCATTTTCATTTATACTGTAGTAGGCCTACTGTAGGCTATATTACACACACACACACACACACACGCATATCAGAAGACAGAAAGAGCTTTATTGCCAAGTATGTTTGCACATACAAGGAATTTGTTTTAGTGTCACAAGCTTCCAGTACACAGACAGAACAACAACAACAACAACAACAACAACACACAGATAATAAAAGTAAGATGTGAATAAAATACACATGTATAAATATAAATAAAGCACACACACACACACACACAAAATATTCAGCATCATTATTCCAGATTTTAGTGTCACATGATCTTTCACAAATCATT